ATATAATATAAATAAAATATAATAAAAAATAAAAAATAAAAAATAATTATTTTTTATTATACGGCTAAAAAATGTTTGCAGGAAACTTATTCTCTTTTCCTTTTTTTATGTTTACATTTTAAAATGATTTCTGAAAAAATGCATGTGCACCGCCCGACACGCCATCATGCGGAGCACTACTTTCCTTTTATATGATTGGATTATTTTGATTTTATGGTTGAGCATTTTTAAAAATAATATTAAAAATTTTATATAACCATAACAAATTTACCTTTGGCTATAACCAAGCTCTTGTTTCATTGTTCTGAGCAAAATTTGATAATTAGGTTTTTTTTTTTTTTTTTAGTATGACCATCCGATATCCAGAAGCCTATTGAGGTACTGATTAATCCGAATTCGAGTCGGACAGGACTCAATGATAATTAGGTTATATATTTCTTAATCTTTTACTATGAATTCTAATTGTAGTACATCTAAAGCATTCAGTTTAATCAGACAAAACCTTATTAAAAGTTCAAAAGGGGACTTTGATATAGAAAGACACCATACCAAAAAGTCCACTTCATCACGCATGGGAAGCAGGTCCATCTGCTTCGTCCAATTCAATCCCCTGATCGGCCAGCCTCCTATTCTTGTACACATACCCCTTTGCACAAACCAAATAAATTCCCAAGTTCAAACCACTCAAAATCGCCAAAAGCCAGTAGAAATTATACAGCTTCCCTTTGTTTATATCGTCCGGTAGCCATGGGTTATTATGTGTAACCTTGTCCACAATGGTAACCAATAATGAGCTCACGAAAAATCCAAGCGAAAGGGTACTCAAAAACAGCCCTGTGCTCATAGTTTTCATCCCCTTTGGACACTCCCTCAGGAAGAAATCAAGCTGTCCCATGTATGTGAACGCCTCCCCTGCCCCAACGAGGAAAAATTGTGGAACCAACAAGAAAACGCTTAATGGGATTTCGGCATCCTGATTGTTCACCAAACCATATGATTTTGCGGCTCTTAGTCGCTTGATTTCTGTGAATGCGGCTGCTGCCATTGCCATAATTGATAGGACCAAGCCAACACCAATTCTTTGCAATGGGGTTAGGCCTTGAGGGTGTTTGAGCACTTTTCTAGTGATCGGTACAATGATCCGGTCGTAGACGGGGACGGTCAAGAGGATGCTGCCGACGAAGAAAACTGTTAGTGATGCTGCCGGGATCTGAAACGACTTGCCTATGTGACGGTCCATGGTGGTGGCCTGTGTGACGGAAAATGTTGACATTTGGGCATAGACGGTCCAAAATATGATGGTGGTTGCCCATATGGGTAACATTCTGATAACCAATTTCACTTCCTCCACATCTGTTAAGGTAGATAAATTCCACTTGTTTGCCACTGTAACTGATGGGTCCTTGATTGCTGCCTTGTCCAGGAAACTGCAAGAACATTGAAATTTAAAATTAATCAAACATTCTGATTTTAATTGACTTTTAAGGACATATAAAGACCAGAAAATATCTACAAAATGTACAAAACAAATGACCCCATCAATATTCAATAGATTGTGATGCAAATGGAATGGTAAATTCTCAAAGAATTTAGGTTAAAAATTTTAAATTTAAATATTAAAATTATGTAAAACAAAATTTTAAAAATATAAAAAAATTATTTTTATTATATAATTTAAGATAAAAAATAAAAAATAAAATTATAAAGATTTGGTTACGAACTCATTTGGCTTAATTCAATTTTTAGTCTATTAACTATAATTTTAATTTCATTTTAATCTAAAAAGTTTATTTTCTTTTAAAATGGTTTATAAACTTTGGAAATATTTCAAAATAGTCTACCAATATAAAATTTTGTTAGATTTAACGGAAAGAGTAGTCTTTTAAGTTTTATAAAAGTGACATTATAATCCTAATAAAATATAATTACTCAAGAAATATTTTATAAAGATAAATTAGTTAAAATTTGTAATAAATTTGAGCAACTAAACTGTTTTACATGACAAATTGTATGTAATTTGTCTTGAAAAATTATTTAAATATTCTTGAAAAAATAATATAAAAATAAAATTAAGGGTATCTAAATAATTTTACAGGACAGACTGCATACAATCTACTCTGTAAAACAGGTTTCTGAAAAACACATTTAATAAGATAAAATTAAAAACTATTTTTATGGTGAATATAAATTCAAAGACTAAAAAATTTAAAAAATATAATTAGAGGACTAAATGGTTTTTTTATAGAATAAAAATATTTAGTTAAAGATAACGGATATTTTCATTAAAAATAACAGATTAGATGAAATTGAAATATATGTAAAAAATAATAAACAAAATTAAAAGAATTTAAAGATAATAAATAATACTAAAAAAATATAAAAATTAATAAATAATTTATTAAATTAACCCGATTTCATTTTAAAAAAATTTGGAAATTGAGGACAATAAAGACACGGTGTACATGGCAAAGTGACCTGTCTTAGTAGTGATCTATAGACATGTGGCGTCTGATAAAGCTGTTTGAAGCCAAATAAGTTTGGTTGTCCGTTCATGCGTGATTTATCTATGCTAATGAAATGAATATATAGTTATAATATTATATAAAATAATAAATATTATAAATTTATAATATCATATATTATTATAAATATAATATTTTTGGAATCCAAAATCCTAGCTTGTGATATTTATTACTGTTTGTTTATTTTTTTTTATAATAACAAATTTAAAAAAAAAGAAGTTGGAGCACTTGCGGTCTTAACCGTGATGAAAGTGCACTAACGATTTTGACTTATTTGTTAAGGGTTCAAACTACTAGTGCAGCAGTTTTGTAATTATTTACCCATCTCCAAATTTCTCACTTGTCAAAAAAAAAAAAAGATGAAGAAGTTGGATATAGGATTCAAATTTTAAGCAAAGGAATATTTTTTCCATTCGGGTGGTTAGTAAGTCATTACATACTGGAATGATATTTGTTACTGTTATAAAGTTATTAGTTGAAGATTATCTATCAAGTGGCCCACCGACAAAAGATAACTTGGATGCCTGCATATTCTATCTAAC